TCCTTGGTAAAGCGGGTTCCGGGGAGGGCGGGGGGGATTCGCGGCCCCCCCACCATTGGGCCCTTAGAATCGTCCTAACCCCCAACACCCCTCCCCCCTTACAGCGCCCCTGCATCCATGAAACCACCATGAATATGATGGATTATGACCACCTTGAATATGATGCATCCATGAAACCACCATGAACATGAGTATATAACATACTATCTCTGTTTCCACTTGTAGTACACTTGAACCCATCTTTCATACACTATTACACTCAAGTGGTAACTAAATACATTTTTTAAATACAGAGATAGAATAGCACATTTTAGTTAATATTCATGGAGTCCCAAAATAGCATAGTTGAGTACACTTAGATGATCTTAAGTTTATCTTAAGAAGTCCTATATATAATTTACCACAATTAAAATCATATGATGTTTATACGTACTGTTGTAGGGATTTGCTCGTCCAGTAGATGGAGGCGTTGCGTTAAGACGGCAGGGAGGGAGGGAGGGAGAGAGAGAGAGAGAGAGAGAGAGAGGTGATGGTGATGATGATGATGATAATGATGATGATGATGATGACGTTGGGCTTGTAGTCTGCAGTCGCATCAGCACATCTCACACATTCACACAGAGGAGCTTCACAGACCGGCGAGATGTGGAGGATAGTGGAGCTCGTGGCGTGTTTGCTTATGATGTCCAGTCATGTATCATCTCAGAGCAAGGTAAGAAAAGAACAAAGTTTGAGAATGTGTTTTGCATTTATTTGCTCATATTCAGTATGTTATTGCAGAACTGATCATGCCAAAACAAATATTTTCTTCGCTGATTTTATTACCAAACATCACTGTAATCATGGTAATTGTTTCATTGTTTTATGCATGAACTATAAAAATATAGAACACGATTTCTTTTTATTACCAAACATCACTGTAATCATGGTAGTTGTTTCATTGTTTTATGCATGAACTATAAAAATATAGAACACGATTTCTTTTACTCAGATGCATATAAAAAGTCAGTTTTATTTATTTATAAATACCAGTTTCATTCAAATGTGACTCACTGCACGATGATTTGACATTTGGAAGTTTAGCCTATGGAATGGCTTGTTTTTTAAAATAAAATCATCATGTTCAATTCAGTTCAGCGGGATTTGGTGTTTTTATAGTTGAAATGATTATTCGCACGGGTGGGCGCTTTGAAAGTGTTTGGATTCAACTCTTCAGCAGGCACACACACTGCGCGCAGGTCTCGGGTTCGTGTCGTGAGTGAAAAATACCATAATACTGTCTAAAATAACAGGTGCTCAGTCCTGCTTCTGAAGCTTGTGCTGTGCTGTTCTAACTATAATCTAATACACCTGCATTGAAGAAGATTCGCTTGCTCAGAGGTTTCTCTCTTTCACAGCTCATTAGTCTTAAAGGGGTCATATGATGCGATTTCAAGTTTTCCTTTCTCTTTGGAGTGTTACAAGCTGTTCGTGAATAGATAATAATGATCTTTAAAAAAGCATCATATGACCCCTTTAATGTTCAAATTAAAAGAACACCACACAAGACGCTTTTCAAAAATGGCACTTCTCTCAGCAACTTCCATAAAGATATCAGATTTTTTTTTTTTTGCAAGACTGCCATTGGTTTCTGACGGAAAGGTTTTGAGGAAAACAAAATATATTCATATTAAGTTACTTAAGTACAAAATAGGACATTCAAATGTTGCCTAATGGTTTTCCAGAGGTTTCCACCCCACATAGTGCATCAAAATCTGTTAATTTTTGCCTGAAGAGTTTTCTACAATACTGATAGCTGGTATAACAAATACCGTTTTGTCTGTTACCTTAATATAGTATAAGATAACCCCTCTAAAATGAGGCATCAAGCTATTTTAATAATACATTTGTGACCTGCCTGGTTTAGAAAATGTTTGTTTAAATTGGAAAAAATAAGCTCTGATTTAATTAGCTTCCAATATTGCCAAAAAAGCTAATATTTGCTCTAATTTTTATCCTCTGTGTTTTATTTTAGCATCAGCTATGTGTCAGATGTTTCTAATGAAACTCCTATTATTTTATAGCGCAGTTAAAAAGTGTATAGCCTGATATTTTGCACTTAAAATAAGTTGATGAAAAAAATGTGAGAGTCCATATTGAGATCTCTGACTTTGATTACAGATATCGGTGTCTTTTACAAATCTGAGTGCACCTTTCTCCAACTCTAGAGGAGAAAACATGTTTTTTGTTCTCAGGAGAAAGATCTTAAAATGAAAAGTCTCCATTTGTTCTTTATTTCATCTCATTGCTGTCTAGCACAAATGCTCTATTTTTTTTTTTCCTAAGGGCGCCTGTCGTTTTCAGGTAAACCATAAGACCTCGACTCACAGGTGTGTTTGATTAGAGTTGGAACTGAACCCAGGAAGGTAGATCTTCAGGAGCAGACCTCTGCATCCTAAATCATGCATTTGAATAACGTACAGTAGAGACAGAGTGCGAGACATCTGAAAAAATAAATAAATAAAAAATCCAGCGAGCTGCAAGACAGCAGCTTTCTAATCCATCATGAAGATTTCCAGTATCCTTCCATTATAATCCATTTATAATTCCATTATAAAAATACAATATAAATTGTATTTTTTGGTGACATCCTCGAAGTTTTTCACCTCAATTGTTCACAATGCACCTAACAAGAAGTGTTTACCACTTCATTGGAAGCTTTTCTTTAAGCCCTCCAGCTGTGGCAGACAGATGAAAGGCTGATGTGTGAGCGGCGAGTCACTTCGGCTAAAACGGTTGATTTCCCAAGAATAAAACTGCACATGAGAAAACGACACGGAGACGTCATGATGCATCAGGAGCCGCACTTATCACAGGTCACGGCTCACTGGAGAGAACGACAGGGCCCCAATCCTCACTCTTGTCGGATTTCTTTTTTGTTTCATTCATTCCACTAAATTGTTACCTGTGGTGAGCATGAGAAAACAATCTATAAGAGAATGATAGTCCGTTGAAAAATGTCAGTGTTTTTACTTTAACTTAAAAATTATTATTATTTTTTTTTACATTTTCACATGCAAAGCCCAATGCCGTGATACTAGGATGTTGCTAAGGCATTGTTATATGGTTACTAGAATGATGTGTTTTTTTTCAGCACAGTGTTGTAGGTGGTTGCTGACTGGTCAAGTCTGTTATATTCTGGTCTCTAGATATCGCTCATAACTCAAGTGTAAGCAATAGTAATATTTGTGCATTCCTTAAAGGAACAGTTCACCCAAAATTTTTGCTAGAAATGTTCTCACCTTCAGGCCATCTAAGATGTAGATGGGTTTGTTTCTTCTTCAGATTTGGAGAAATTTAGCATTACATCAGTTGCTCACCAATGGATCCTCTGCAGTTGAATGGGTGCCGTCAGAATGAGAGTCCAAACAGCTGATAAAAACATCACAATAATCCACAGGTTATCCACACAACTCCAGTCCATCAATTAATGTTTTATGAAGTGAAAAGCTGTGTGTTTGGAAGAAACAAATCTATCATTCCTGATTAAGACGAGACAACTTTTTTTTTTTTTTTTTTTTTTACTGAAGAAAGCAATATTATGGATAAAGGACTCATATTTTAGTGGGAAGTAATGGTTTGAAGTTAAAAACCTCTTTGATGGATTTGTTTCTTAGAAACCTGCAGCTTTTCATAAATTGATGGACTGGAGTGGTGTGGATTATTGTGATGTTTTTATAAACAAATTTATCTTAGATGGCCAGCAAATTTTCATTTTTGGATGAACTATTTCTTTAACAAATTGCACTTAAAAGTG